TCGAATGCTTTCTGGTAATCTAATCATTTTGCTTAATTATTAATAATAACGAAGATGGTCGGGGTAAAGAAGTCAAGAAGAAGTTTGTTACCTGGTTCTTGGTCAATAACCCTTCCTACTAAGTCATGGTTTTCTTTATAATCAGTTCCTACAAACATTTGGCAGCCCTCGGTAACAAGTTATATGGTTTTTTGGACTTGACATCTATACTGGTATTTATTTTTTGTAACTAAGGGTCTTTGAAAATATATTGTGGGTAAATTTTAATTATAACCTGAGAAATAACCTGATCCTGAATGGCAACTAGCAAAACCAATCTTGGGAAACATCTTTCTTGATGTCAACCAATAGTTCTACGCTATATTGTCTACATATTTATGACTAATTTTATTGAGAAATCGCCCACACAAAGGTTTACTCATCCAGATGAGCATTTTTTTGCTTGGTTTATGCGCATTTCTTGTTCCCTTAGTTTAAGCGGTATTATGTCATCTACTGTGCAAATTTGGCGATGTAAAGTAGATGCCTCAGCCTGCTTATGAAAGATCCTTAAATTAACAACCTGTTTACTCAGTTGCTCGCCTATGTTTATAAGTCCTCTTCCCCGGATCTTGCGGTAATGCTGTTCCATCTACTACACTGCGTAGATGATATTTTTGTGCCTTTGTGAGAAGTTTCCGCTTAAAACTTTCTATATCCGTTTTTGACTAGTTTATAATACCAAATGAGTAGCTATGCACGGAACAGTTGTATATATTTAATGCATTAAACAAGTTTGCTTGTAGCCAATAAAAGCAATGAGAAGCTTTCTTGTTTGGTGTATGCCTGGTTAGAAATGACTGAATTGATTTTAAGTTATTCTTTGCAGCCCATGAAACCCTTATCGTATCCATTATGTTCGGCTCTCTGATATTGTTTACAGCACAGTGTTGGTAGATACGCTGGGCTACCCAGGATGTGACCAATTTATACAAAGTTAAAATACAAGTAATTGGGCGATATTTGGCTGGATCTTGGGTGTTATTTTGGCCCTTCGGTATTAAATAAGAGGTTCCCTAAGTAAGAAATGATGGTACTTTTTGCAGATTAAAAATAACATGATTAATTAATATTGATAAAACCCTATAAACCTCATATTGATTTGTAGTTATGAAAGTTTTTGATAAGGTTCGAGACTTCTTAAGTGGTGAATGGTTCGTGAGAAATATTAGTGGTGTTGAAAGTTGTTCGTAGTGCCTTTAATTCACCCAGCATTGGTGTTATGAGTAGCTTGCGTTGAAACTTGATTTCCCGAAACATTTATTTTTGACTTGGGTTCGTAATTTTCGATTGTTACTATCTATGCATCTCTTTAGGCGGCCTAAATAAATGGATAGCTTTTGTTTTAATGTGTCCAGGCATTTTTGATATCTATTATTTTGTGGATCACATTGTGAGTGTCTTGAAGTGTTCAACATTATTTCTTTAGCTTTTTTGATTACTTTTTTAGTTCTCTGATTAATAATTGATGCAATCCCTATATTCATTTCAATGAGAAGTTCAGCAATTTTCACACGTCACATTCGATGTAAAATCCTTTCCATAAGGAACCACATGGTTCTCCAACAATGGCCATCGGTACCTTACATTTCCAACCTTATTTTTAATTAGATTTATAAATAAATTGACTTTTCTATTCTGTCCTGTAAACGAATATTTTTGTCATCTAATTGATTTTTCGTACAAAGAGATACCATCTGGTCCATATGTATGGAATAAATTCATTTTTAGCGTTATTATGTATAATGTGAAAAAAACATGAAACAGGTCGATTTTTATTCTTAAATTGATAATTTACAGAATAAAAATTATTTTCCCCTGCAGCACCCCCTTTGAATTATAAGCAGCCCCTCGAAAATTTTAAATAACAAAGAGGGTTGTGTGACACCTTGTTAGAAAGGGATTTTAGTCATCTATTCAGCAATATAAAGTTTTTTAAGTTTGGTGTAATCATAACAGGGAAAAGTGATTGTTAAGATATAAAATTTTAATAATGTCTCTATCACAAAACTTTAGGTTGAATGACGATAATAATGTCACATAATATTTAGAATGTATTTTTTAATGTACTTTAGAATTAAATTAAATGTCAAAAATGACCATCATTCACTTCTTGACCATAACCGAGGCGATTTTGGAATTCTCGTACAACATTTTGTACGACCTTAGGGGTTATTTTGTTAATTTCTTCCGTTAACCTAACTTTTAAATTAGCAATACTGTTTGGTCTATTAAAATATGCTTCAGCTTTTATATAACCCCATAAGAAGTAATTGAGAGGAGTCAAGTCGGGGATCTACCTGGCCATTCGATCGTTCTACCACCTTTCGGTCTTCCAATCCACCTATTGGGAAAAACCTCGTTTAAATAATTTCTAACTAAAAGTGCAAAATGCGGTGGAGCTCCGTCTTGTTAGTAGCAAGTAGATAGATTTATCTCATTTGGATGAATAACATTAGGAAAAAAATCTTCATAATATATGCACTAAGAAGTTAATCAAAAAATCTAGATAAACCTCACCATCAACTGTGCCCTCATTAAAAAGGACCAATAATTTTATTGTTAATGATAACAGCACAAACGTTAACTTTCTTAGGATATTGCGTGTGAGTCTCACACACCTAGCGAGGATTTTCTCTTCTCCAATATAGACAGTTCTATTTGTTAACCTTTCCGTTTACATTAATGAAACGTCGCTTAATCAGAAAAAACTATTTTCTTTATGAACCACAAATCTGCGTTTATTCTATCCATCATCATTTCATAGAATTTTTGCCTTTTCTCAGGATAATCTTCATTTATCTTCTGAACCGACCGAACTTTGTAAATGTGGTATTTTTCTTCATGCAAAACTCTAAAAATAAGATGATTTACTTACATCATTGACGGTGGCAAGTTCTCGAGTTGTCTTATGGCAGATTGTCCTCGATCTCTAGAAGTACATTTAACTTTTTTTCGTCGGTAAATTTAACATTTCTACCTGGTTTCTCAATATTTTTTATATGTGCAGTATAACGTAACTTCTTTTTAATTTTGCTAACTGTAGACTGCGACACTTGTTGACCAAGATATTTATTATTAAACATTTCACAAACCTCCTTTAGAGTTCTTGTTTTATTACTACAACCAATTAATTAAAATGTCTATTCTTTTAGTCTTGGACAAATGAGCCATAATTAAATTTAATATGCACACAAATATTATACTGCCGTCTTTTAGTATCTTTAAACACCTAAATGACAGCATCCTACTAGACGCATATTAATTGTTTATTTGGCTTTTTGACTAATATTTTATTAACTTCAATAATGTTCATCACAACAGATATGAAAATACCTGATTATTTCTAAAGTATATTTTAATAGACCAGGCAATATTGCTGATTTAAAAGTTGTTATAACTGAAGAATTTAACAAAATAACTCCCGAGGTCATAAAAATGTTGTACGAGAATTCCATATTCGCATCAGTTCTTGTCAAGAAATTGTAATTTTGAACATTTAATTTATTTGTAAAGTACATTGACAAATACATTCTAAATATTATGTGTCATTATTATCGCCATTCAACCTAAAATTTTGTGATAGAGACATTATCAAAATTTTACATCTTAACAATCACTTTTCTCAGTTTATGATTGCACCAAACTTAAAAAACTTTATATTGCTGAACAGATGACTAAAATCCCTTTCTAACAAGGCATCACACGACCCCCTTTGTTATTTAAAATTTTCGAGGGGGTCCTTATAATTCAAAGGGGGTGCTGGTGGGGGATACTATTTTTATACTGTAAATTGTCAATTTAAGAATAAAAATCGACCTGTTTCAGCTTTTTTTCACATAGTACATAATAACGCTAAAAATGAATTTATTCCATACATATGGACCGCATGGTATATATACACTTGTTAGATAGAAGATACACTGTTGATCCTCTTTTTAACCTAGAAAGAATAATTGGAAGGTGCTACACCAAAAAGACAATTTTGAAAAAAACAAGCCCTCGTCGAAAATTGTTATCACTATAATAGCATACATTAGCATCAATCTCGTGCTCAATTCCGATCCAAAAAATCAGACCCGTATTATACAAGCTTTTCTTTCTTATTTTATAGCAAAACTTTATAAAATATATGTCAAGATTTAATAGACAGAGAACTAAATATATAACAATAAAACTATCTGCTTGATTAATAGGAACAAATTTTCTCCATGGAAAAGACTGTCACTCCTTCTTTACCAGAGACTTAAATCTATTTCATTTTCTTTAATGATCTGTTTATTTGTATTTTATTGGTTTCGGTTTTAACAACAGTTTATTATTATGTTTTATTTGGATTTATATAACAGGATGTCTAACAGGATTGACTTGAGTTTATAATTTTATCTTAGTTTTTTTTTCTACGTCTTTCTAATTTTTGATTTTATTAATTCATTCACAATTTTCTTCTTGTATTCAAGATCTCCTATGGAGGTTGCAGATCAACATGGCTGTTCGAAACTGCTGCACCTAATAATTCGACCGATAAAATTCCAAACCATTCACGAAAGTTTGGCGGCCAAGAAATTCTTCTACGACCCACGCTCCTTTGTCCAACTATTTTTCCTTGCATTATAAGCTTTAGAAACTCATATTTTGTAAGAACCAAATAATGTATTTGTAATAATTTGTAATAATAATATATATTTCTTTTCAAAAAATACTTTTATTTGACTATTTTTCATATCAAGGTATTGTATATTTTTCATCATCCTTTTTATTTCTAGTTTGCTTGATAGAATGATAAACATTATAAAACTTATAATTAAGTAAGCAAATGTTATACACAATGGAATAGCCGAACACTATCTAATACAATTACTATAAATGATACCTACAACATTCAGAAGAAGCTAAAATGTGCAACACATGCAATGAATCACATATCAAGACAGGTGTACCCGGTGGGTCCAATAGCAGACCTCAGCATCCTTTTTCGCTCCCTGATGTTGGCGGCGTGCCTCTGGACTCTGTAAGGGGACGATCCGTAGTAGTCACCTGAACTAGAGAGAGTACCTGCGCATTGACCATCTGAAAACAATTAAAAACATGTTTCAAAAATATTTAAACACGTTTGGATTGTCAAATATTATTTTGATCAAAAATCTTGCCTAGAAAAAACATAACTCAATATTTGGCATTACTGCTTTTAAAACGAAATCTGTTTTCAAAATACAATTATTAAATTACAAAAATATTTAAAGATTAACGGATATTGCCTTACCTAAAGTAACAAAAATGCAGAATAAATGTAAAACAACTGATAATGAAGTAAAATGGGAAGGTTTTATTTTAGTTATTTGATAATGACAAATATACGACAAGACGTGAAAGACTTGTATATCTGGAAAAATTGTATATCTGGAGAAAATAAAAAACCAGGAAATAATTGACAGTACCGCAACGAGAACCGCAATCACATGAATTGATAATTAGAACGGTGGGGGAGGAACATATTAAGAGCTATATATAGGCACTAAGACCGCAGAAAAGTCGACAAGAAGAGCCTAAAAAGAGATTCAAATCAAGTTTAATTAATTTAAAATAGCAACATAAATAGAACTGCAGATAATAAGACGGTTATTGGTAAAACATGTAGAGGAAAAATACGTTTAAGATGGATAGAAAGCGTGAAAGAAGATTTGAAAAATAAATAATGATAATAAAAAGGAATAGAGAACCTAATGAAACTAGTAAATTAAGCAATGGGAAAACTGAATACATAATGATACGTTAATCAATTTGAAAACTAAACTCATTAGTTAAAACGTAACATCACCCTAGCCCTAAGCCTACCAGATATTCAGAGCTTAATAAATCAGATACAATATAATTTATCATTATCGAAAATAATAGTGTTGTTTAAAAAATGTTTAATTTAGCCAAATTTAGAATAATATTATCAACAAATAAGCGAAAATTTTACCTCCACCATGATGTAAGCTGCTCAAATAATGATGCTGAAGACTGGAATTGGAAGATGGCCTGGATGCAAAGGCACAGCTGGGCAGATCGGAAACTTCATCCTCAGACATGTCTCCTGCACTATATCCAAATTGTAAGCTTAAATAGAAAGGAAGGAAAGTGCATTACACATAGGGAAACATCCATAGGTGGTGCGATTATTGCGGAATCGTACGTATACAGTGTGAAAAGGTTGTTCTAATGTGCGCAAAAGGTTTGTGCTGATGCATGCCTTTCCACAAAACAAAATTAAACTGAAAAGTAAAGTTATACAAAATGAAAAATGGCAACAATTAATACTGATTACTTTAAAATAAAATTTTTCCTAAAACACAAAAAGAAAATATGCTCATAATCACAAAAACGCTAAGACGAATGCAAAAGAAATAGTTACAAACTCAAAGTGTTACTGATACTTAAAGAGATGAGGTAACACGTATTATAGTTTTGGCTCATGTTGTGAGGACATAAATACAAATGAAGACAATCTATGTAATTTCATGTTGCACACAAATAGGAAAAAAAAATAGTAGTTTATTACCAAGATAATAAACGATGGACTTAAACAGTTCTCAATTTAATTATAATTAGAAAGTACAGTATAATTTCACTAATCCAGTAGTATTAAACCAGAGGGTGCCGGATTATTGGAACGATCGGATTACTGGATTATATACAAAAATTTATAATAAATAAAATAAATCATTTCATAAAAGGTACAACATAAAATATGTATTTGTGTTCATGTCCTACATGTTTTTTTATAACCGTACCATATTTCACATTTAGCTAATTTAATAATAAACAATTAAATGTTCTCTCTGGTTTTACTTTCTCTGCTTTAGTAGTTGGTGATTCCAATATTTCTTCTAGGCTAGACTAGACTTTCTTCTTCTTGTACTGTTTCACATATTTCTTTATCTTTCATAACTTGCTCTGTTTCTTCAGTCCCTTCAAACCAAGAATTTAAACCTTCACTTGTCACGAATCCCTCTTATTAAAAAATATTGGAAGTCATCGTCAATAGAAAGATTATCTTCACGATCATATTTTTCTGTTTCTTGTGAATTAAAATTCATTGTAGGCTATAGTTTTTACCATGATTGAATTAAGTCAGGTGAAAGTCAGAATAAAACATCCTTCAAATTGAATTTTTTGAGGCTCTGCGTTATGTCATCATTTTGAGTCCTGAGAAATAATATGGATGATTGATTTATTTTTAGACAAGGACTTTGTTTTTTTGATAACATTTTGATCCATCGGTTGCAGTAAAGATGTTGAGTTTGGTGGTAGGAAGATGGTTTGGATATTTCCATCACTTGATCTTGTTCTTATTCATTTGGTTGGCCTGGAGTATTTTCAAGTACGAGTAAAGCTTTTATTGTCAAGTTGGATCTTTTAATAAACTTATTTACTTCTAAGACAAAGAGTTTATAGCTCTATTCACTAAATACCTCTCTCGTGACCCAACTTAATATAGTAGCAGCACGCCCAACTCCATATTCTTTTGATAATTTGCACATGTTTTCTCCACTATCTAACTTCTTTAAAATGCCCATTTTACTTTTTAAAGCTAGAGTCTTGTGTTTCTGTTTACTTGACAGCAGGCAGAGGGTGGACAATTTTTGAACGTGTCAGCTTATTAAAGTGCCAGGTAGTAAGATTTTACGTTAATACTATTACATGCTATTAGTCTAAATACATTAAAATGTGAAGCCTTGTTTCATTGTTTCTTAAAAAGGTGTAACTAGAAAAATTACAATTGTTTAAGATGTAACTGTAAAGAAAATGCTTTTGACCTTAATCTTGGAAGTTACGAATGAAAAAGATTAAAAATCTGATATCTGATCTGAAGTCAAACCATAAAACTTTATCTTAAAATCACATATCCCAGAATATAAAGAAAATGATTGGAACAATTTGGTTTTAAACCCGGATATTTTTTACGTAGTAGTGTTAGTAAACCGGAAAAGCGTTCTAACATCAGAAAGGCCTGTTAACCATATATAAAAAAAACCCTTATTAAATAAAAAATACGCTTACGACACAGCGCTATTAGTAGATTAGGAACCTTTCAACTCCTACTAAAAAACTAATCATAGAATCTAGAGATCAAGTTCTTAGACCGAAACCCAAAATTGCAGACAAACATAACTATTTTCAAGAAGGCACTTGAATACGTGACAAGATTTAAATACTTAAGCTATTGGATAAGAGATAACCTAGACCCAGATTTAGTCCCAGGAAGAGCAACTTTGCTCAAGATGAAGACCGCAGATTCTTGTTGTCTCCAGTAAAGACTTGGACCATTCGAAATGTGAATAAATGTGCGGCGTATGTTTAGAACACCTTGGGTGAATAACGTCACAAATGACGAAGTTTTGAGAATAATGATAAAAAACAAGGAATTGTAATCTTAGAATATATGCTGTCCATATCTGCACTAATACGGATGGCATTTCGGCACTTCTATGAAGAAACAATTAGAGATCTTGCAGGCTTTGTCAGTTTTTGTGCTCTGGTTCGAAACAGTCACTTATTTTATCCATAATTTTCGATCTTGCCAGTCACCTTCATGGAGGTCACTCTCCTCCATTATTTCTTTGACATATGTTTTCCAACTTCTGGGTGTTCGTTTCCTTTTTTCTAGTTATTTTTTATTAGTTAAATTTTTATTTAACATTTGGTCACATTTTATGGATGTTTCATCTATATAGCGTCATTTCTCTACATATTTATGTATGTATGTCTTCTGCCTTTCAAACTCAAAGGACGGAATTTGGTAAAATATATTTAGAAATACTTATATGAAACTAATTTCTTATTAAACTTATTAGCTAGATGTTATATGCTTAGAAAAGCCAAAATATACATGCAGGTATATATTATATACATCGGCAAATTTAAAGAAACTGAGTCAATATCACATAATCTAAATAATATTTTTTTCATATAAGTTTGAACGAAATGCTTAAAAATTATTTAAATTAAATTTTGGTGTGGTTTGATAACATTACATCAAAATAGTTTAGTTTTTGTTTCTTTTGATATTATTGTCCTATTATTTGAGTTTCTGACAAAAGTGAAGAAAATTAGACCCCATTAGATATAATAGGTATAATAATCAATACCTTCTAAGTTAAACTTTTTATTTTACATAACCTCCAGTTTCCTTCACGTGTTTTAAATTGATCATACCGCTCTAATATGGGCAATTATTTCTACAAAATCGAACCATTTTAATTATTTCTACAGTTCTAGTGAAATCCGAGTGCAAAAATTTATTTAATGAATTATTTTTCTTAATGAAGTTGTTGATAATAAGCAAATACGAATAAAGCTTAGGTGCTTATCTCCAAAGAAGCATTTTATTGCAAAGAGAATTGAAGTATTAAACATATTTATTTGACAATAAGTGACAACTCTTCATAATTAAATATTCAAAAGAGGAAACGATAAAATTTAAAACAAAACTTTTGAAATTTAAAAACAAAATAAAAGTAGTAACAACAATCCACGTTTTATAGCTTGATATTCACAAGCAAAATTCCTATTAAGCTGTATAGAATAAAATATTGTTCCAATTTAAAGGTTGCTGGAATAATACGCTTTCAGATATTTTAAAAAAATCAAGTAACTTTTCTAACCAAAGATTATGGCATATTCAAATACAGCAGATTGGATCTCAGAAATAATGTAATTATAAATTTTTCTTAGATTTTGAATTTCTGATATTTTGTTTAAATTTAAATTTAAATCTTTTAAAAGTGATAATAATTTAAACAAAAGATCAGAAATTCAAAATCTAAGCAAAATTTATAATTATATTATTTTTTATAGTTTATTCATTAAAATATCACATTTTAATTTAATATTCCATATACTTGTTATATTTTTTAGACATCTATCAATGATGAATTAATCTTCTTTTTTATTACTAAATAAAAAAGAATTTTTTAAGCAAAATTTTATTTTTTGACAATATAATTGTCAAAAATAAAAATTGTAAGTTGCTATTCATGACATTAAGACCTTTGGTCGCTATTCTAACTTATTTATAAATTAAATTATTTTTGTTAAAAAGTTTTTCAAAATTACTAAATTTAGAGAAATGTTGATTTGATATTTTTTAAAATAGTTTTTTTAACATGTTAAGTAGTTTAGATTTACTAACAAAACTAATTTTATGTGGTGAGTTAAAATTTATTTTTCTAGTTCCACTTTGTAAGATTTTTTGTATTTTTTAGAAGCTCTTGATAAAAATGGTAAACACAATTGAAAGCTTGGCATAAAGAATAGTTTACCAATAGCCCCTTTTATTGACTCCAACCCATAAAAGCATATATATATATATATATATATATATATATATATATATATATATATATATATATAATATATATATATATATATATATATTAATATATATATATATATATATATATATATATATATACTGTAGTTTTGATATAACATAATATAACAGTGGCCCACAAAGGCAACAACCTCTTAAATAAATATTTCACAAAACTAAAAACACAATCTCCAAAACTTAAAAAATCACATGTTGTTTACGAGATACCATGTACTAACTGTGAAGGTGTCTATATCGGTCAAACCAGTCAACTGCTTCAATTCAGAATTCGTTCTCACAAATACGACAAGAACAACGTCACTGTGCTCACAAAACATGAAAGCGGGAAGAAGCATAAATTTGATTTTGAAAACATCAAAATTTTAAAAACAGAAAAAAAAAACAAAAAGAACAGGGAGATATAGGAATCAATAGAAATAAAAAGAAACACCAACGCAATAAATGACAAAAAAGATACACAAAACCTAAATAGAATATATTTTAATCTGAGTTAAACAATAAAAATTTACAAAAATAGGAATCGTTTAAATCTTAACGTGGATTAATGACGTGACAATAAAAATGTATTACAAAATGTGGAGACTCTCTACAAGTACCTAAAAACTAAATAAATATTGCAACTTTATAAAGTGTTTAAATGAACTATAAAGAAAAAGAAAATGAACACTTTACTCCGCTGACTTGCACTCAAATATAATCAAAATTT